CCTGAGTGTAGCTCGGGATTACCGTTTTTGGTACTGAAAGTTAACCCCGAGCTACTCTCGGGAATACCGCCAGGGGGTTTAAATACCAGCAAAAGAAAGCTGTCTCAAAAAAAAGAATACAAATTTTGTTTTAGGTACAGTGTTGCATGCCCAGTAGGCAAGTGGTTAAACTGTTACTAAATCCACAACAGTAAAATCAGTCTGTATATGCGGTAAAGCATGCGTGTTATACTCACTGTGACAGCTAAGGGGTATTGCTGGAGAGTTGTTTTTTTTTTCTGGGAGAGTGCATGTAATCAGCACAGGGCCAATCAGCACTGTCTAGACAAAGGTCAGTGGTTCTGCATCCTCCTAGAGCAAAAAGAAAATTCCTCCTACAAGCTTTAACCAGTGCTCTGCTGAACACTGATAGAAGTCACAAGACTGCTCTAACTGCTGATGAGAAAGGTATTTAGCAGTTTATATTTACTAAAATAATTGCATTTCCATGTTCTGTGTACTGTGGGAAACCAAATATGGTGAATGCAGGGTCCTGGATTTAGTAACTCTAAGATACTGGCACCTGCACCTGAAGCCGATTGAAGAATATTAAAAGTCAGCAGATAGTTATGTGGGGGGACTCTGGAGCTCCACTTTAATGCATAGAATGCATAAAGGTAAAAAAAAAACCTGAACTGAACTAGTTTCCATCTGGCCAATAGCAAATTGACAGATGAGTGGGACTTTCGGTGATCTGGGTGGGCATCATATGATGTCCTCCGGGATCACGCCACGGCAAGATCTGCCACCATTGGACACAGCCAATGACAGATCTGTGTATTGGCCCGTTGTCAGTACCATGTGACCAAGCTGAGCAGGTCACATGACAATTGTAAACAATGGATGGTTGCCTTTCGTGCCATCCATTGTACACAATTGTGTTGCTATGGTCACAATGATCACATGTACAGAATGGGCCAATCACAGCCCATCTCTGTCATGTGATTAGCTGTGGCCAATAACAGCTAATCACAACAAAAAAATGTAATTAATCAATTTCATTCATTTAAATACTTGCTTATAGCAATGAAATTCTTTGCTATAAGCAATCAATGTGTAAAAAAATAAAATAACTTCCCCAGAGTAGCACAATGTGACTATGGTAACATTATACTACTCTAGTCACAGCGTGTTATTAAAAAAAAAATATTAAAAGAAATAAGATGTAATTTCAAAAAATAACATTTTACTTTTTTTTTTTTTTGTACTGTCACCAGTCAGTGTCTCTGATCGCCACCACACCAGTTACATGATGATGCTATCCTGCACTGGTAACAGTATGTACAAAAAGAGAAAAAAAAAAATCATGAAAATATGTTTTAATTTCATTTTCCCAAAAAAATTACAACTTAAAAAAAAACTTGCCATGCCTCTTAGTACCCTCGACTGTCTACTTTGCAAAAAGGGGTCATTTGGGGATCTGTACTGTGCTGACATTTTTGGGTCTCAAGAAATTAGATTGGCTATACAGGATTTATCGATTTTCAGATATATGCCATAGTTTGATATATGCGATAGTCCTACAGACTAAATAATAAACACTGATTTGGGGTATTTTCATTTAAACAAAATGTACCAGAATACATTTTGACTTAAAATTTATGAAGAACAATTATTTATTTACAAAATTTTATAGCAGAAACAAAGAAAAACATGTTTTTGTTTTTTTTTAAACTTTTCAGGCTTTGTTTATTTAGCAAAATTAAAAAAAACCCAGTAGCGATTAAACACCACCAAAAGAAAGCTCTATTTGTGTGAACAAAATGATAATTTAGTTTGGGTACAGCATTGCATGATTGCGCAATCGTCAAAGTGGGAGAGCGCTGAAATCAGAAAAATGGCCTGGGCAGGAAGGGGGTAAAAGTGCCTGGTATTGAAGTGATTAATGTGGACATTAATATGCTGACACTGATCAGCCATAATCTCTTGACCACTAACCAGTAAGTAACATTAATAATCTTGTTACAATGGCACCTGAAAGTTGCTGCGATATTTTAGGCAGCAAGTACACATGTTGTCCCTGAAGTTGATGTGTTGGAAGCAGGAAAAATGAGAATCACAGTTTGTTGTGTAAGACTGGTGAAGGTGCCCATGCAGACTCCTATCCACATCCAAAAGCGCCTGCTTGCAATAGGCAAATGAGCATCAGAAATTAACCACAGAACAATGGAGGAAGGTGGCCTGGTCTCTTGAATCATATTTTCTTTTACATAATGTGGATGGCTGGGTGCATTCGCATCATTGACCTGGGAAAGAGACAGCACCAGGATGCAGTATGTGAAGAGGACAAGCCAAGGGAGGCAGTGTGATGATTTGGGCAATGTTCTGCTGGGAAATCTTGGATCCTGCCATTTATTTGGATGTTGCTTGACACATCACCTCCCTAAACATTGTTGCTGACCAAGTACACCCTTACATGGAAACTGTATTCCTGATGTCAGTGGCCTCTCAGCAGAATAATGCACTCTGTCACACTAAGAAACACAACGTGTGGCCTCCAAATTCTCCAGATCTCAATCCATCGTGCATCTGTTAGATGTGCTTGAAAAACTCAAAAGTCCAATCCATGAAGGCCCCACCTTGCAACTTACAGCACTTGAAAAGGACTTGCTACTGGCAGTTTGGTGCCAAGATTTTGTGTGGTGAGGGAATTTGTGTCAGGATGGGGAAGGTGTGCTGGGATGAGTTATTGGGGAGGGTAAGCATTCTGATTAGTGCTAGATTTTATTTTTTTTGGGGGGAGGGAATTGTTACTGTACATTACACACTCCTGCCCGCTTTTTATTTTGTACACCTGATCCCTGCCTTATTGTGTCATGTACTCCTAAACCTGCTACCGCCTACAGCAATCCCTAACCCCTGCACAGGCAAGTGTCCTGGTGGATGGACTTGCTCCTGGTGGCTTGTTGGACTGATACATGCAACTGAACCAATTAATAAAAGTAGGCGTGAGCCCTTCACATATACAAACACTCCCTCTAACAGCAATAAAGCAAAACCATGAACAAAAACAAAATGGTATATAATAGTTAAAAAGTCCAAATGCTAATAGGAAAGTCCCCACACTATATTCTTGTTGATGTAAAAAAGGTGATCAATTCTTATTATATTCGACAGTGTTCAGCTAATGTATCCAGATGAACTGCACACTCACTAGCAGGGGCAGACTGCTGACCATTTGAGCACTGCCTGAGGTCAATAGGGTGCCCCATGAAATGCCCATGGTACCTTTTATAGTTTTTTTTTTTGGGTGTGGGCAAGGACACAGGGGCCCCATGATCCCCTATTGCCCGGGGCCCCATGATCCCCTATTGCCCGGGGGCCCCATGAGTTGTCAGTTTGCCCCTGTTCACTAGATCCCCTCAGCCACCGATATGGCCAGCAGGCATTCGATAACAGATCCTGTGTATGGCCAAAATTGGATGTTCACTTTTTATGCAGAATCCCAGAAGAATGATCTCTCAAATACTCACTAGAAAACCATCTCCAATATCAAGCAAATCTCAGAGAGAAGCCCAATAGAAAATGCTCAGTGTAGTATGTTTTATCAAAGTCATGATGTAAACATTACAAACTGTATGCACTCACATGGATTGGGTGACTGAGGGGGCACCAACATAAACAGCTCACTAGAGGGACCCTTGAGATGAGCTTGTCAAAAGTACCCATTGACAGGAAAGTGATCGAATCTGAACGATTTTGGAAGTAGGCTCAGTTAGTTGATACCTGCAGGCGAGACTGGCTACAGCTGTGTTGGGGGAAATAGAAAGGTTAGCAAGTTTGTTACAATCTCTTAAAACCTCCTTGATAAGCCAACCTTAGAAAAAGGACTTCCAGCCTCTCCCCTCTTTTTACAGAAAGGTGTGAGCTTCGCCGTGCTTATACGTTTAGGAATAACTTAAAGCTTGTTTGCTATGAGGGTGTTTAAAATCGTATGGACATAAAAAGGGGTAGGCAGATCACTTCACATTGTGGTAAACCGTGTGTTACAGCAACAGTAAAATACCAAGAAGGGTGCCGATGCCATGCAGGATCACACCTATCCACAAGATAAATACTTCACAGCTTTTCAAGAAGGGAAAGAGAACTTTTATGCACAAAGCTGTAATCGCAAACACACCATTGCCACAATGTTGGTCATGGAAATCATGAACACATGGCCAAAGACAGTTCATGTATTGGAGGCCTGGTCTGGCTGAGAAGTAAAGAAGAGTAATATTGGTGGAACCCCTTGAGAGACAAAACCGGTGCAGACCCTGCAAAGCAAGAGGATTGAGGTGTTGCTGTTGAATAAGTGAGGTGGAGGAGTGGTGGGACCCTCTGTGATCATATGCGTGTTTTGACCCCAAAGAGTAGTAGCTCTATATAGCTGTTGCGTGGTTTGTGAATGTGGAGGTTGCACACGGTGATTGAAGGCTCAAATTGAACAGTACAAGAGTGGCTGTAAAGCACATGGGACCTTAAGGCACTTTCACATTTTTATTTTTTTTGTATGGATTTGAGGTTTCATATGTAATCATATGATTTTATGTATAACTGAAGGGCATTTTTGAATATAGTATTGAGCACATAATTACCACTCTATAATAATATATTTTTTTTTCTCTCAATTTGCTGGATTTTTTTGCAGTTTGGCTGAGCGCTGTATTTATATAACTTATTTGCATGAAATGTATAAAAAAAAAAAAAAAAAAAAAAAAAAAAAAAAAAAAAACGCACCATTTCAATAATCTTGATACAAAAAACTATTTCTATATATTCTAGAACATATAAACCCACAAAATGTAAAACAATGTTTCAGATCAGACTTTATTAACCTACTCAAAATATAAAAAAAACGTAATACAATATTTGTAATGCAATTTTTTTTTTTTTTTTTTTTTTTTTTTTTTTTTTAAATGGTTGCTTGAGATTTGTTTCTCCCATTATAGATATTCCTGGCCTTTCCAACACAAGGACCCTCACTTATGTGTTGCAAATGTGACTGCAAGGCCAACCAAGAGCATGAACATGGAGATACTGAGAATCACAGTGATGACTACCATTCCTCCCGAGCGTCCTTGCAGAGAAACATACATTTCCCTTGGGCTTTGAGGTAGATCTGAACAAAAAAATTAAATAAAAATATTTATATACAGACACATACACACTAAAAAAAAAAAAATAAAAATAAATCGTGACAAACACTGAAAAGAAAAAAAAAAAAAGAAGAAGGAAGAAGAACTGGTAAACCCACACATTTCAAAGCAAACCTGCAGGCACGCACAGTATTAAAATGTAACTTTAGGGAAACCGTTAAAATACTACAAGTTTTGTGTTTATATTTTTCCCAAAGGATCTGTAGTCTTGGACTGTCATTTATATACATACATACATACACACTTTTGCTGCTTAGGATGATCACTCTGCTACTTTCTAATTTAGCATTACTTCTACCTGGATCTACTCCTTACTGTGAACAGGCATGTCAAATATTTGCCCAATAAGAAGGCTGGAAACTGAGAGAAAACTAGATTGCTAAACCTTAGTTGTCATCTGCCTGGGTCGGCATCATAGCAGATGTGTGTATAAAAGAAAAAAAAAAATCCATTGCCAAGTAAAAACTGTGCAGATATGTATGGCAACTATCTAGCGGTTTGCCAGGAGCTACTGTACATTCTAAAATAGCAACTTAAAAATTGTTACTAAAGTCATATTTTTTGTTATTAAAAGAACATACATGTTATGCTCACCTCCTCTGTGCAGTGGTATTGCACAGAATGGCCCCGACCCTCATTTTCATTGGTCCACTGGCAGTGATCCAGGCTCCTCCTCTTCTGCGTGTGTCCCCAAAGCAAACCACTTGCTGTGGAGGCACAGTGTGTCTTTGTGCTCCCGAGCTGTGTATCCATGAAGCCGCGCTCCATAGACTTACATAATGGGACTTAGCCCACCCCTCACTGCATTGATTGACAGCAGCAGAAGTCAAGGTCTTCTGCCCAAGTGTCGTGTTAAGGGGAAGAGAGGGGAGAAGAGATGCAGCCATGAACAGCACCAGATCTATTCTCCCCCCTCTTCCCCTTCATACTGGGAAAGGGGGAGGGAGGCAGAGAAATAGAAAACTGTGTTATACCATTGGGTATCATGTTATTTCAATTCTATGCAGATTACAGAGTATCCCATAGCATCCTAATTAGCAAATACACAAACTATCAACTTCTGGTAAGCAGAAACAGTCACACACTGATCAAATTATGACCGATCCCTGATGAAACAGCCATATGGTCGGGATCTTTTCAGATAAAAGGACCAGCTGAGTGAAGTCAGCTGACAGCAGGCTTCAGCCCACTATCAGCTGAAAATGGGGCACAGGAGTGCAGAACTACCTGCAGTCCTGTAATCTATAGAAGTACAGCCAAATAAAGCAAAGAACAGTCCTTGTTCTATCATAAGATTAGTAAACCGAGAAAAAATACAGCCCTAATTAGGCAGAAAAAAATGGTCAACAGAAAGCTTTAAAATTTTTTCATTCAGAATGCGAAAATCAAAACTAAAAAGGACATAATGTATTATGCAAAATAGGAACATCTATATCTGTATCTATAGAACAGTATGAACTTCTAATTCTTCATTTAAAAAGGGAATAGGTGTATTATAGCAGGGAACAGTGGAGGATCAGGCAAGTACTTTTTTTGTATTCCAAGACCAAAAACAAGCAATTAACTTTTTCAGTGCAAGCACAGCCCCACTGCAAAAGAAGTTAGTTCACAGCCCCACTGCAAAAGAAGTTAGTTCAGAGTTGGGGTTTAAACTTAAAAATCCAGTAAGTTTTTAATCTACCTGTATCACCCTCCTAGTCATCTAGGGGGAGCTCTAGTTCTAAATTTCAGTCAGGAGGGGCTGAATAGCAGTCTGGGTGTAAAAAAATAAAAAAAAAAAATAAAAAATTTAGGCCAGGGGCTGAAAGGCTCTGCAGACTAGCTCTCTGAAACGTCCCCTGCGCTAGAACTTTGGAGAAAGTTCTAAAAGCAGTGGGTGGAGTTAAAGAGAGGCTAGTCTGTACTCAAAGGATCCTGACCAATCCCCAAGAGGAGGCTTGGCAAGGGCCCAGGACAGACTTTAAGGGTAACCAAGCCTGCTCAGTAAGGGGGAGTTGGAGGAGAGTTCGAGTGGAAAATGAAGTGCGGCTGGAGTGCAGGAGCCTGGGAGGATGCCCAGACTGGCATGCATCTCAGTGAAACCCAGGAAAAAAAAAAAACAAGAAAAAAAACAAAACACATTGAGAAAGTCCTTTAGAAAGACTGTCCATTGAAGCTATAATAGGTCAGCCTGGGGTAGTTGAGCAATTTTTTATGCATCTTTGAAATATCTGGTATATTAGGATGGACTACGAAAAAGAGGCCCCCAGATTACTGAACTACAATACAACATACGTCGGCTTGCTTATTTTTTCTTTTTTGATGAGAGGCTTTAAAAAGCAGACAAACTCTGGCAGGGTTCCCAACCCATTTAATTTTAAATTGGTATGCATAAACCTAATTTATTATTTAAAAGAAGAACCCTGGGATAAGCAAAATAGATAAAAAAATCACCCATTAGTACAACCCCTACACATAGCACTAAACTATTAATACCATTTTAGGAGAAAAGTTAAATAGAATTTTCATGACTTCATCTCTGTCATTCAAAAGAGAACAGCATCTGCTCTGCCAAGGAGGAGGTATAACAGCAGGGATTACATCATATCCTCTCTTTTGCAGTAAAAAGGAAACAATTCCAATCAAGCACAGGGAATTGTAGTAAATGTGGGTGGATACACTAGACCTGTACATGTTGAATGTATGTAAAGTCCCAATCCGCCTACCCCTGCAAGTGGGGCTGAATTTGGCAGCACAAGTTACTGAAGTACTGGCATGACATAAGGAAGAGGGGTCTAGATAGATATCACAGTCAAGTAAGATATCAAGAGAGACTGTATGAGACATACAGTGGCTACCTCAGTACTTGGAGAGACTGTCACTTTAAATCCAGTTATGCCGTGACATCACACCCGCCGGAGCCTCGTGGAGGTCCGGCGGCCATTTTTGAATGTGGACGGTTAGTCCTATCCTATCATTTATGCTGTTTCTGATGCATCGGTTTTATACTGCGGGATAATATCCCTTAATAAATTACTTCATACATTACTACACTATGGGCATCTCCTTGGTTAACTCCCTGGTGGAGTATTGATTTTCAGATGCCCACTCAAGAACACAGATCCATCCCAGTACCCAGAGAGGGAATCTCCTGTATATCCGGAAGCAACACCCACCCAACCCTTAAGGGGACCTCTGGCTGATTTGGATCATCATTAAGCACTGGAATTATCTGGATGTGCCACCTGCCCTTCAGAGAGGATAACCCACCACCTGGTCCATCTGGATATATATTTACATGCGCATTTGAATTGCACATCTGGCGAGTGCGCAATTTTTCTACAACCATTTGCACAAGCATCGGATTACTATTGAAGCAGGCACCTTCAGAGCATTATAGTCAGCCAACTTTTTTTATCAATTGTTTATTCATGAACTTCATTCATTGCATTTGATACGTTGCTTCCATAGAAGATTATTTATTTCCGTTTTTTAGCGCTGCTCATTATTTACCATTTTATTGAGGTTTTATTTTGGTTACCTTTTGTGTATAGCGGCTCCCTTTTAGCGCGCACACATTTTTTTTTTTATACCTTTTTAAACTATTAGAACGAACATCACATCTGTATGATCAGGGAGAACGCTCTTTTGGTTTACGTGGTTAGGGAAACCCTGGACTGCCAATCTAGCAATTCTGCATTTGCCTGAAATGCTTGCCTATATAAGAACACCTAAGAGTTGGCTTAATTCCAGTGGGCTATTCTGTGTTCAATGGCTAAACCCTCTACAACTGGGTACCACAATAACAGCATTAGCAGCCATGACTTCGAACACAAATATTTTCAGCCCATTGGATTAAGATTTACATACATACTGGCTATCAGGATTTATATGCCAGGGCTGATTTAATAATAAATTTACATTTTATAATATACAAAAAGGCTGGGTTGCATGGTTTATTGTAAGAGTAACAGAGGGTTATAACTCCTGTCAGTTCCCCCCCCCCCCTTTACTTCCAGACCTATAGCCAAAACATGAAGGGAGAAGAAATTTCTCCAAAGTGAGAATCCCTAGCTGTCACCAGAACTAGTGTCCCACTGGAAGATCTTCCCTGTATTACTGTTCTGGGGACAACCCAGAATTTGGAAACAGAACAAGTAGAGGTGGTAAATCTCCATAACAGGTGCACAAACAGCAATAAAAACCCACCAGATGTTCTAATCCCGCTCTATTCTATCCAATGCTTCCTTTTGCTATACTTTATCCTGCATCAGTGGAAGCTAGGAGGGTAGAAACTGACGTTGTTGGGTAAATGGGCATCATTTAAACCCACTGTAGAAATGCAGCAAAATGGTCATGAAAATGCCCATATGCCAGATGAGAAGGCCTCTAATGGATACATTTAAAAAATTCAACTCTTGATCCCATAGAGATCAAAAGCGATTGTGACACATAGAAGTGAATCTGAATGTAATAAAAGCTCTACAATACTCACCACGTGTCTTGAATGGCTGTGACCACTGGGTGTAAGCGAGTTTTGTTGCATTGTTATACAATATATAGCGTACTCTGCAATGAACCAGATCAAAATGGTAGCTCAAATCACATACTTTTAGAAAGGAAGTTAAGCAGTTCAGTAAAACAAGTGAATACAAAGTGCAGAAAGTTTTGTGATCAGAGAGACTCTCCAGCATACTAATTGGAAGAGCAATCTATAATAAGCAGAGAGTGAGGGTTAAAGTATCAAGATGAACCAATCAATTGACAAGCTAGGTTATCATAAAGTTTCAACAGTACATCTAGAAACAAATCAATTTAGCATTTTCTGGAGTTATTAAAATTTACAAACAAAAAAAAAAAAAACCCAACAGACATAAAAATGTTAGCCTTATTAAATTATATCCTGCTTTTTTTTAGGCCTCATTATACGTGTTAGAAAGGTTTCTTGACTTTATATTGATGCAAGTTTTACATGTTTACTGCCAGCTATGTGTTCACATTTTCTTTCCCAAAAATAGACTGAGCTTGCATAAATATTGGTCTGCTTGTGTTTCAATGTGTTTGGTTTGCCCTGGACAGAGATGCAAGGCTTCACTTACATCCAAAGTACCCTTCCATACCCCCAACCCAAAGTGACAAAAAAAAAAATTATACTCAAATATATTATCTTCTCATGGAAGACCTCCGTAGTTGCAGATTGTTTGTTTTAAGGATTACATTCTTAAACACAATCACAGACATTATGAAGTCAGTTTAAGAAGGAAGAAAAAAAAAAAAAATATAAAAAAAAAATATATATATATATATATATATATATATATATATATATATATATATATATATATATATAAAAAAACACCTTTTAATCAGAGTATAGCATCAAGTCAATTAAACTCCTGGGATATTGATCTGGTCAGTTAAGTAGCAGAGGGGGTTGTTAATCAGTTTCAACAGATGCACTAGATGGGCAACACTGAGACAACCCCTAAAACAGGAACGGTTTTACAGGTGGAGGCCACAAAGGTTTTCTCCCTACTCATCTTTTCTGTTTTTTTTCACTAGTTCTGCATTTGGCTAGGGTCAGTGTCACTACTGGTAGCACGAGGAAGATACCTGGACCCTGCAGAGGGTGGACAGACTGTCCAACTCCTCCAGAATGGCACATCAATACGTGCCATTGCCGGAAGGTTTGCCGTGTCTCCCAGCACAGTCTCAAGAGAATGGAGGAGATTCCAGGAGACAGGCAGTTACTCTAGGAGAGCTGCACAGGTCCTTAACCCATCAGCAGAACCTGTATCTGCTCCTTTGTGCAAGCAGGAACAGGATGAGCATTGCCAGAGCCCTACAAAATTACCTCCAGCAGGTCACTGATGTGAATGTCTCTGACTAAACAATCAGAAACAGAGAAGGGTGGCCTGAGTGCCCACCACCTGGCACCATAGAGTTTGATATTTGCCATTAAACACCAGAATTGGCAGGACACCATCCATCATCTCATTAGGAGCATGCCCAGACGATGTCAGGCATGCATATAAGCATGTGGGGGACCATACACACTACTGATGCAGCTACAAACTTATAAACACTGCCCTCTACATGGCACACTGGGGACAATTTTTCCATTTTCGGGTGCTGAGGAGTAACCTGCAATGCCGCCGTTTCTTATCAAAGTAAACTCCTGGCAACTTTTGTATCACTCTGCTGGAGCAATGTAGAAGAGGCTCGGACACCTGTCACTGGATTGCCTAAAGGGCCAGGCAGGAAGCAACACAGAACAGTGTTGGAGACCCATCCCTCCCCCTACCTCCCTCCTCCAGCAGCTCGTCCACGCAAAGACAGCGAGGACTCCAGGATCCCTAGCATCCCCGAGGCAGTGTGAGTTGGAGGGAGGGGGTGCAGCCAGCCTCAGCCCCCATTCATTCTACTAGTGAAGTGTCAGCAGTGGAGGCAAGCTCTCTGATGGTGCTAGAGATTTCCAAAACTGCTGTGCTATTATAGAAGTGGAAAAAAGTCTGCAATGAGCATATCTCTCCTTTTTTCTTGTAGCACTAGAAGTGACTGAGAAATTGGGTTTAAAATTTCACTGTCCAATTTCTCACTGTCAGGACAGTGCTACATGAAAAAAAAAAGGGAGATATTTTATACTTCTAGCTAAAACTTTTAGAATAAAAGTGCTGTTTGCTGACAAAGATGATATCTCTGTTGTCATGTAGCATTGTTCTGACTGTGAGAAATTAAACTGTAGTTTTAAACCCAATTTCTTACAGTCAGTGATTGCTGACGCCATCATCACACAACACATTTTTCAAAATTAATGTTGAGCCAAAACCCACAATTGAATGCACCGCCTCAATGAAAATGATACTCTGCCCACACCACCACTTCTGGACATAAAAAAAAAAAAAAAAAACAAAAAAAAAAAAAAAAAAAACACAAAACATCAACAATTCCGTAAAATTTTTAGGGACTTTGACAACTATGACATTATATTCATGATATAAATTTCTTTGGTTTTATTATTGATGTGATTTTGTTTTTATTAGCACCGTTTTTTTTTTTAATTTAAAGCAGCTCAACACTATGATGTATTGCTCTCTCTCCATTAATTGCTGATCTGGTTTTCATGTCTCTGACAACAAGACGAAAGCTGTATCGTGATTGGCCCCTGCAACATTCATCTGGAGGTATCTTTATTAAGAAATAGATCGATCTTTCTCGCCCCCTCCCTCATTTGTACTTTGAATGCATTTGCTAGTGTACATCTATATACTTATGGTTAATGTTATACGTTAGCTGCAGTAGTTCCTCTCCTTCCAACTACTTTGATTTGACTACTGGTTAATTTCCCAGGAAGGGAATCTCCTCTGTTCAGATACCCTGTCCTGGAGGAACTGCCAATGTTATTATCAAAGCCATACTTCCATTTAGCTCTCCTCCAGTTTGAGGAGAGCTTTTTCTCATGTATCTCCCCCCCCCCACCCCTCCCCAAAGGAGTGCTACATAGTGGGGGGGAAAAAAAAAAAAAAAAAAAAAAAAAAAATTTAATCAGTGGTTACACTTTAATCCTAACACGTTTTAATTTGTTAAACAAATGTATCCTAAAAAAAAAAAAAAAAAAAAAATATAAATAAATATTAGAGAATATATATATATATATATATATATATATAGTTTTAGTCATATGTCCTCTCAGTGATGCTCCTCCATGTTTTCAGTCACTTCCTCTCACAGTTCAGCAAGAGACACAATGCAGGTGTACAACTATACTAATTGGGTAAACAAGTGGAAGTTGCAGTATTAAAATACCTCTTTCCAATTACAACAACATTGATGTACCCCCCCCCCCCCTTTTGGATTTTATTAACTTCCTTACTTATAGGCAGCTCCAGGCAAAATTCGTATAATCTCGGTGTTGTTTTTATCACTGAGGTTTGGTCCAACTTGAAACACATATGGTTCTTTGGGAGGTGGCTCACCGAACACAGTTCTGCACTGTGGTATGCTAAACATATTTGGGACAATATATGTTTCGTTGTGTTCTAAAAGGGAAAATAGATAAAATAATTAGTATACAAAAACCATATGAAAAACACACCACACACCAAACAAAAACACACACCATCTATAGCTATGGAATAGGGATGGGCTTGATGTTCGAGTCAAATGTAAGTTGAACAATAAGCACGTTCAGCAGGCTATTCACCCACTGGACCCCACAATGCACTGCGCTCTCACAGTGCATTGTGAGAGCCATGATTGGTCAAACCTCCACCCAATTGTTTACATCTGACCGGCAAATGCCAGATTACTGTGAGTGCAGACGGGTCGGCGGGCGTCTTTTAATTTCAGCAAGTTGGCATTGTCATGACAACGCTTGATTGATTTTTTTTTTTTTTTTTTTTTTTTTTTTTTTTTTTTTTTTTTTAAAAAGGGCTGGTCAAAAACTTGGTTTTGTTTTTGGTTCAATAAAGGATCTTTTTCAAAAAGTCTGAAATCTACTTGATTTTGATTTGAATCATTTAGTGAATGGTTAGGGGTCCAAGTACCCCTTACTCATTCACAAGGGGGGCAGCATTTAAAGGGGAACCCTGATGCTAAAGAGCCCCCCTGCCCATAGACCCCCACTACCACTTAAAGGAAAAAAAAACAAAAAAAAAAACAAACTGTACTTTTTGAAATTTTTTTTCCACGATCCTCCGGACAATACTCAAGTCCCCATACCCCTTTTAAGGCCAATAAATTTGCATATAAAACCTTCAAAATAGGCACTTTTGAATTTACAAGTTTGAGTCCCAAGGACTTGCATGGAGATCAAAGTTCGGTCGAATATTCATTAGGTTCGAATGTTCGACCACGAACCGAACACCATTGTGTTCAGCCCATTACTACTATGGAACACACTGTAAAATGTGACATCGCCCTGGATATACAGCCCCTTAAGGCATTGCAGCCATTGTCCTACAAGCCTATATATGTCTGCAATGGGACAGTTTTGTCAAGGGGTGCATTATACTGCACATGTATTAAGTAGAAGCTGCCTGCCCTGCTACAAGCCATTCTGATTTCTGCTTATAATATCTTAAACCTTCACTTTTTTCAATGAAAGAGACAGATTATACTTATCTTCTGTTTGCAATGGTTTTGTACAGAGCAACCCCAAGCCTCCTCTTCTGGGGTCTCCTGCCGGCCTTCCAGTCCCCTCCTCTTTGGAAAGTGCCCTGCCCCATGTAGGCTCGCTCCTGGAGGAGCCCTGTCTGCATCTATTGACAGACCAGGTTGTTTGGCCCTGCCCCTCTGTCTCAGCATGTGATTGACAGCAAAACCTTATGACTTTAGAACCACTTTAAAACAAGTGGGACAGAATACTGACACATTTCTCAGAGACTTCCATTTACCTTTCATTGTCAACATAAGTATCATAGCAATACATTACACTTTCTATGGAGGCTGCAACACAGCAAGAGACAGAATTTTCCAGATCAGGAAGTAGGCAGACAAGCTCAACTCTTGGTAAACCAACTTGGAGGGTTTAACGGCTTCATAATTCTGTTGAAGATGAACTGCTGGTTATTGTCAGTTATGGTTTAACCTATTGCTTGCATGTATCAACCTTTTCATGAGATGCGGAGCTCCCAAACAATTCATTGCTACGTATGAGAGAGAGTTATCAAAGACGGTGCCTTAAATATACCAACCTCTTAAAAAAAGTGGTACAAACATTGAAGAGTCACAAGAAGAATTCAAGGGACTTGAGGGGCTTAAAATTGGAGGCTTAGTACTACAAAAGGCAGAGAGGTGAGAATCACACAACTTTATGAATCTAAATCACATCATTCAACATCTACGAGACACTTCCACAGATCCGCCAAGTCTCTACAAAGAAGATTCTCAGCCAAAACTTATTAAAGCCTGTGATGAGCTTCCAAAATCCAGGCAGGCATTCTTTGCCCAAAAGAAAGCAGAGGTGGCAGCAGAAACAGCACTGAAGAAAGCAGAGATTGAAGTTTTGGAGAAACAAACAATGTGTGCACACTGCAGCCATAACAAGGTTAATGGTTTTAGAGCAAGCTGCTAGCAGAAGAGGAAACATCTCCCAGCTACATCTCTCAACCTAGACCCATACACTACACCTACCACCTCTCAAGACAATCTGTCTACTCATCCCTCAGTACATCAGGCCTATGCATCACAGCAGACTCTAAACATTGGTATGCAGGTATCTTACTATGAAGCTAGTCAATTACCGCCTTTTAAGTATACTGCTTTATAGCAGCAACCCAACATGTCAATCAACTCTAAACCAGTGTCAGGTATGAACACCTTTGCACCACCATTCCTCCCAAATTTGCTAAATCTCAGCACACCAGCCAATGTAACTGCCTTGGTTCCACAGGAGGCGGTGCATTCAAAGCCTACAAAACATTGTCACAGTTCACCAAATACATGCTTCACAGAGTTAATCAAGACAGGTCTCACCAAGTTTGTCAACAAACCTGAAAACTACAGAAACTGGAAATCCACCATCAGTGAACTAGATGTGCTTACCAGGTGGCTAGTTCTTCAATCTGCTGACCATTTTCAAGACTCAACCACACCACAGGCCTTCACGCTTCTTGGAACAAACTTGACTGTAGCTTCAGCTGCCCAGAAGCCATTGGGGATGCTTTAATTAAAAGGTTGCAAACCTTCCCAATAAACATCTAGCAGGGACACATTCTAAAAATTCAGGAGCTCAGTGGCCTTCTCTTTAGCTTCAACTCACTAAAGCTGATATCCACCTACCAGGCCTCAGTTACTTAGATATCACTTGTGGGGTAATCTACACACACACACACACACACACACACACACAACACACACACACACACACACACTTCCAGTCCTCCAAGAGGCAGATATTCCCAAGCATACACTTTCCTAAATGCACAAAATATTTCATAGGTAAAGAATCCAGGCCTTTGTTAACCAGCTCTGGAGGGAGTCTATTCCACATTTCACAGCTTACTGTGAAACTACTGGTTTAACCCAACAGTCTTCAAGTTAACTTATGGCATAAAGGAAAAATGGGCATCACTTTGAATCAAGACACAATGAAGAAAATTGAACTTCCTTTCCTCCTTTTGGGAGTTCATTAGAATTGCAGATATGAAGAATGATTCATGTTTATCCTTTGGAGAGTAAAACCCTCTCAGTCCACCTTCTCCAAGGCCTGCAGACTTATGCATTCCACATAGAAACTGCACAGGTCCAGGGTCTGAACAGGACCAATATTTTACTCCAGTCCATGAAAAGACTGATCAGAACAAGAAAATTAAGTGTATCTGCTTCCAAGAGATACCCTTGCAAGAATGCAGAGAGATTTTAAAGAAATACAGGGTTTGCTTTCAATTCTGTGTTTTCATAGAACACTATGCTTAAGATTGTAGGGCTAATTTTAAAGTGCATAGAATGTGACAGTGATAATCAGGTGCGAGAGCTTCATCCATTTTAGGACAAACCCACTCCACGAGTAATTCTCTCGAGGCAAAGCATGGCGGGGGAGAGCACACAAATAATGCTTCATACAGTTTTTTCCACATGGACTGATGTTTGCGGAGAAAGACTGACAAATCCTGTGCCCAAATATGCTTAATTTGTATATACTACAAGTGTCAATCTGAAGGAAAAAAAAAAAAAAAAAAAAAAAGTGTAAGACTATTCTAGAAGATCAGGTCTCATAACAACAGGTCTCTTGCAAAATTAAAGCAGGATAGGTCTTACCATACACCTTGGGTATCTGTGCTGGCATCCGACAGAAGTTTCCCCTAAATAGCAGCATATAAATACCATTGCCCACTCATATCAAGTGCAACCAGATTCCGTTTAACAGAGAAGAGAACCCCACTCCTGGAGCTGCCTTTCATCACTCTCATTTGAGGGGCAGAGCTGACAACTTACCAGCTCTAGACAGAAATGCCAATATTCTCCTGCTTGTTGACAAAGACAGACACCAAGGATACACAAGGCTCACCGACAAGTCAGCAGGTCACATTACACACTACAGTGGGGCAAAAAAGTATTTAGTCAGCCACCAATTGTGCAAGTTCTCCCACTTAAAAAGATGAGAGAGGCCTGTAATTGGCATCATAGGTAGACCTCAACTATGAGAGACAAAATGAGAAAAAAAAAAAAAAAATCTCATCTCTTGTATGTCTTCCATTTTCTAATTATTGCTCCCACAGTTGATTTGTTCACACCAAGCTGCTTACCTATTGCAGATTCAGTCTTACCAGCCTGGTGCAGGTCTACAATTTTGTTTCTGGTGTCCTTTGACAGCTCTTCGGTCTTCACCATAGTGGAGTTTGGAGTGTGACTGTTTGAGGTTGTGGACAGGTGTCTTTTATACTGATAACAAGTTCAAACAGGTGCCATTAATACAGGTAATGAGTGCAGGACAGAGGAGCCTCTTAAAGAAGAAGGTACAGGTCTGTGAGAGCCAGAAATCTTGCTTGTTTGTAGGTGACCAAAATACTTATTTTTCCACCATAATTTGCAAATAAATTCTTTCCAAATCAGCCAATGTGATGGTCTGGATTTTTTTTTTCTGATTTTGTCTCTCATAGTTGAGGTCTACCTATGATGCCAATTACAGGCCTCTCTCATCTTTTTAAGTGGGAGAACTTGCACAATTGTTGGCTGACTAAATACTTTTTTGCCCCACTGTATATGCCCAATGCCTGGACCTAAGCTGGGTCATTATACATAACATCTGTTTGGGCCCACATCACTACTATGTTAAAGAAAGACTTAACAGTAAAGGCAAGCAACATTTCATCAAACAAGGCCCTTTATTTCTTGGACGATAATGTCAACACTGCAGTGTTTGATGCAACATCTAAAATAAGCTGGAAGCCATGGAAGAAAAGGAGTTGCTAAATCTATGAGTAAGGAGTTCTATTTTTAGGACAATTCTGACAGCTGGGTGGCACCACTACCATTTTGGGCATTTTGAAAATCTGCCAAATCATGTT